TAACCTAGGATGTTTTTATGCTTCTTTCCTTAAACTTGCACAGTCATGTCGTTTATATAAATATGATTTTATTCTTTTTTTTTGGACTTAGATATTAAATTTTAAAACTTAGATTTACTCTTGAAAACTTTACAAACCTGCTTTTTTTCATTGCTGATCCTGGAATTTGCCTTATTTTAGTTCCTTTGGAATAATTATATGCGTATAAATTTTCTCTTGATTTGGACAGTTTTATAGAACCATATTTAAGGTGCGTTACCTAAAACAAATTGCTTCTTATTTTCAGCCTTTACTAGTGTCGATTTATTTTTTTCTATGTACAATGCATCATTCTTCTAGAACTTATTTCAGATTCAAGTTTTACTTAATGCTATTTTGACATTAATGATATTTGGTATTTTTATAGGTAACACAAGAATGATCATAGTGAGGGAAAAGTTCTTAGTTGGACTTCTCTAATTTTTAATCATAATATTATTCTAGACTTCAGGAATTAGAACGAATTTTTTTTTAGAGGAGAATCTACATTTAACCAGATTTATAGCTTTCTTGCCCCAGCTCCCCCATTTGTGTAGATTTATAGGCTTTACTTGTAACACTGTGGTTGATCATTAAATTTAAAAAGGAGATAAACCCTGCCCAGCATGGCTCAGTTGATTGGGTGTTATCCAGCAAAGTGAAGGGTCGCTGGTTCAATCCCTGGTTGGGGCATATTCCTGGGTTGTGGGCCAGGTCCCCAGGTTGGGTGTGTGTGAGAAGCAGCCAATTGATGTTTCTCTCACACATCCATGTATCTCTCCCTCTCTAAAAATAAATAAATAAAATCTTAAAAAAAAATAAAGAGGAGACAGGTCAGCCACAAAGTGACGGATAAGGTATTTAGCCATACATATTCCACAAATTTAATGACAAATATATAATAGAGTTCTACCGCAAGTTTTATTATCTTATATATTTAGAAAGTATTTTAGGATGCCATATCCTTAGGACTATAAATAATCTATAAACCATCCAGAGATTTTAAAAGAACCTGTTGAACCTTGCCTTTTACAAGAGTAGTAAGCTATCTAAAGATCATTATTAAGTTTTAAAATAGAATGTAAAAACAAATATTCTTCAGTTCTGATTATACCTTACCAAGTACATCCAAGTACATAGCTAATGAGGGGTAGGGTAGAAATTTATCTTGAAATCTTCTGACATCATGCTCTATGCTTTGTTAATGCTGAGGTCCAAGACATATCCTACTCCTTATTACTGTACTAATTTTGGAGATAAGGAAGTGAGTTCCAGAGAAAATGAGAAGTTACCTGAACTTTATTGTTAATTATTTCTTCCTTCCTGCACTACTATGCTTTCTCCATTTGCCTCCAGATGCTTTTAGACGTTAAAATAGGACCACTCCCTCATATGCACTCACTGTCTCATACTGTGAGTGCACATTTAGTAGTGGAAGTCAATGCATCACTTCCAGTAAATACCAGTGATTTCCACATCTAATCCACCACTTTCTCCACCCCCCTTCTTCCTGAAATCAAGATTTTTTTCCTGGGGATTTTATGTTTTTTAAGTATATTTTAGTGACTATGCTATTACAGTTCCAATATTTCCCCCTATACCCCTTTCCACCCAGCACCCCCTACTCCCTCAGGCAATCCCCACACCATTGTTCATGTCCATGGATCATGCATATAAGTTCTTTGGCTATTTCATTTCCTATACAGTACTTTATATCCTTATGGCTATTCTGTAACTACTGATTTGTATTTCTTAATTCCCTCACCTCTTCACCCATTCCCCACATCTGCTGTCTCATTGGTGACCGTCAAAATGATTTTGTTGCTATTCTTGTTTGCTTTAGTTTGTTTTTTTTTAGATTCAATTGTTGATAGATTTGTATTTATTGCCATTTTATTGTTCATAGTTTTGACCTTCTTTTTTTTTAAATAACTCTCTTTAACATTTCATATAATAATGGTTGAGTGATGACAAATTCCTTTAGTTTTTTCTTGTCTGGGAAGCTATCTATCTGCCCTTCAATTCTAAATGATTTCTTGAATAGGTAAAGCAATCTTGGCTCTAGGTCCCTATTTTTAATGACTTGAATATTTATTGCCAATGACTTCTAGCTTGCAAAGTTTCTTTTGAGAAAGCAGCTGACAGTCTAATGAGAACTCCCCTGTAGGTAACTAACTGCTTTTCTCTTGCTGCTTTTAAGATTCTCTCTTTATCTTTAACCTTTGGCATTTTAATTATGATGTATCTTGGAGTGAGCCTCTTTGTACCCATCTTGTTTGGGACCCTCTGTGCCTCCTGACTTGCATGTCTATTTCCTTCACCAAATTAGGGAAGTTGTTTTTCATTAATTTTTCAAATAGATTTTAATTTCTTATTCTTTCTCTTCTTCTTCTGGCACCCCTATGATGTGAATGTCAAACCTCTATGAAGTTGTCCCAGACGCTGCTTATACTACCCTCATTATTTTGGATTCCTTTTTCTTGTTGTTATTCTGATTGTTTGTTTTTTGCTTCCTTATGTTCCATATCATTGGTTTGATTCTTGGCTTCATCTGCTCTACTGTTGTTTCCCTGTAAATTGTTCTTTATTTCAATTAGTGAATTCTTTGTTTTTGACTGGATCTTTTTTGTGTGTGTTGTTGAGTTCCTCAATAAGTTCCTTGGGCATCCATATAACCAGTGTTTTGAACTCTGCATCTGATAGATTGCTTATCTCCATTTTGTTTAGTTCTTTTTCTGGAGTTTTGAGCTGTTCTTTCATTTGGGCCATATTTCTTTGTCTCCTCATTTTGGCAGCTTCCCAGTGTTTGTTTCCATGTATTATATAGAGCTGCTTTGACTCCATTTCTTGGTAGTGTGACCTAATGTAGTAGATGTCCTGTAGGGTCCAGTGGCACAGCCTCCCCAATCACCCAAGCTGTGTATTCGAGGGCCCTTTGTGTGGGCTGAGTATACCTTCCTCTTCTAGTTGAGCCTTGATTGCTGTCGGTAGATCAATGGGAGGGATTTACCCAGGCTCAGCTGTAAGGATTGGCTGTAACCACTTATCACCAACTTCCACCCTCCTTGGAGGGTCAGTTGTGCAGGGGCAGTATGGCAGTGCTCTGCTGTGATCCTTAGCTGTCCACTGGCTATGCTGGCCCTGGGTTTTCCCAGGTGGTGCAGGCCAAGATCAGCCCCTACCTGTGTTCTTCCTGGGGCTACTCTGACTGAGCTGTAAAGCAATCTGAGATGGCTGCTACTTGTGCTGGGCTTGGAGATTCCCTGGCAAAGCCAAGCTGTGAATCTAGTCTGACTGCTGCTAGTGCCAGGCCTGGTGCTCATTGAGGCCAGCTGTTTCTTTTTTGATAGGATTTAGGAAGCTGTGAAACATGAGCAAAGACTAGCCTTTCATATGGAAAAGCAGCTTGTGTGGGCCCATAAGTTGGTTGAAGTAAAGTGCCTGGGGATCTCCAAGGCAGGCCAAACAGTGTTAGCCAGGTCGATGGACTCTCAGATTTGCCACCAGTTTGCCACCTCAGTCTGGATGGATGTGGTTTCTTTAATTGCATAGTTGGCAGACTTCCCTTCAGTTCAATTTCTATGGTTCTGAGTGAGAGTTGTTCTATATTTTAGTTGTAATTTTGATGTGGTTGTGTGAAGAGGTGAGCCATGTCTGCTTATGCCACCATCTTGACTGGAAGTCTCTTCTGTAGCCTTTATTGAACATTTCCACATGCAATGTTGAGGAGAAAAAAAGCTTGAGATTCAGGATGCTCAAAAATCGAAACTGTTAACATATTACATAATTTTGCCAATTCCTTTTAACATGCTGGAATCCTTGTCTTAGAATAATTATCTCATTTTTTTCTCTCAGCTGTGGCTGCATTACCTCCTTCATTTTCTTGAATTTAAGATCTTTATGCTTTTAATTGTGAAATGTTCAACCTTGAGCTCTCTCTTGATTTTAGTATATACTTTTTCAGATACCTAATTATTATTAACCAGCTTTACTACATGTTTTACTCCATGTTTGAAACTACAAGTTTTGTTCCAAACTCTTTATTTTCAGCCATCCCCATCTGTGTCTTCTCTTTGAATGATATTGTTTACTCAGTCTCTGAAGCTATAATCTGTGTGTCATTCTTTCCTCTTCCCTCAATCTTAGTCCTCATGTCTAAATAGGTGTCAAATTTTCACAAGTTTACTTTTGAAAAACTTGTCAAATTTGGCTTCCTAGCTCCATTCTTACCTCCACTGCCTTTGTCAAGGTATGGTCTTAATTCACGCCAGTGTCTTTGCACTCTAGTCTAGTCCATTTTACAGGCAAAACGGAAAGAGTGTTTCTTGAATTTTTATAATGTGCCAGGCACAGTGCTAAGGTGTAAGTCAGAAAAAGAGACTCAGCCCTTATTCAGAAGGCCTGCATTATGATAGACAGATACATTTCCTCTTTTGTGCTTATTGATCTTCCTTTCTTTCTGTCTATATACCTTTACTTCTTTCTTTTCTTTTATCTTCATGACATGAACACAAGTAATTAAAGTCGGTTGACACTTTTACCCGTAGCATATACTGTTTTTGATTATTGATGATTGTCCCCAAATCTCATTCTGAAATTTTTCAAATGTGCTGATATGAAATGTCTGTTATTTAGAGTATTCCTGAACTATTTAAAAGTACCATGCCTAATTTTTTGAGAAGTTGAAACAAGATCAGAAAATTATAAGAAGGCCTAGAGGTAAAGTACATGGTTGTGAAATATGAAGAAAACTGTATTATTTTCCAAAACATTTTAGTTTGTTTTGGTAAAACACATGTTAAATTCTAATATGTTCCGAGTGCTGCAAAATCAAGTTTCTCTTAAAATAATATTTTTAAACAAAACCATCTTATTAAAATTCTTTAGGTATTTTCAGAGGAGTTTTTAGTGTCCTAAAATTTTTCTATAGTTTATACAGAAGCGGTCATCAGATGTAATAAGGGCTTTTCTGTTGTTGATAGGTACACACTGGTGGATATTTTGCGTGCCATCTTGCTGTCTTTAGAAGCCATGATTGAAGATCCTGAGCTTCAAGTGAATGGATTTGTTTTGATCATAGACTGGAGTAACTTCACCTTCAAGCAAGCCTCTAAACTTACACCCAGCATGCTGCGGTTGGCTATTGAAGGCCTTCAGGTAAAGATTTGCAAATTATACACTTTCTTGGTCTCCCATGTCTGACTTATATAATCTGTTAGAATAACAAAATGTCTTACTCGAGGGATGAAAATAGTTTTTTTAAACTTTTCAAGCACAAATATTAAAACACTAACTGGACAAAGGATTTTAGACGAAAAACTGAGGATGTGGGCCTTTTAATAAATGAGAATTTGTAATACTTGGTGCAAACCCTCACTATCCTTACATATAAATATAGTTGATAATGACTTGAGATTTTTATCTTGATAATCAGGAGGAGCAACATCTTTTGGGTTTTAATTATTAACTATTTAGGCTTGTTTTTGTTTCTTTTTCCTTTTCTGTGTATATTAGTTAAGTGTTAAAGGTTTGCTTCATTATTTCATTTAACCTGGTGAACTTAGGATATGATGAACAATATCTTCATGTTGCCCAAAATACTGTTGGAAATTTTTAATCAATATGTTTTTAATCTCTGAGCTATGGAACCAGTTTTGAATTACTTTTTTAGACTTAATTGGGGTTTTTGTTCTTTTTTGTTTTTTGATGGAAGGGCTATCACATAGAATTTATATAGGGATGGTTCATCTTTCCTATAGTGAATGACTTTGAACTGATTTGGACTTATAAAGTAGAAAAATCAATCATTATTTAGTGCTTTGTCATAACTAGTTGATGGCTGATTACTCCCTAAAAATGAGCCACTTCTTCAGGTGGCAAGACAGCTTAATGAAACTGAACTCACAGTTTGAGTTTTGCCTCTGAAATGAGTAAGACACCCTGATCCTCTTTCTCTACATAGGCTTTTCTAATACAAGTTTCCTGACTTCCTTTTGGTGAGTCACCCTTGCTCCTGTCTTATCTTGAACAACACTTTTTTTTAACGCCTTAGAGAGAGTTAATAAGGTTGGGAGAAGGCACAGAATAATGCATATTTGGAAATGTGTATATCATGTAGAATGTGCCCTATCACCAGCAGTGTATAAAGTGTTTTTATTTTGTAAAGAAAGTCAGTTAAGACCAACCATGTTACTTACAACAGGAGATAATCTAGCTTTTTAGAATTGTTTTCACTATTTAACTTGTGCCTTCTCTTTATACTAGAGGTAGACTAGGCTGCTAGCTGCATGAAAGAATGGAGAACTCATTCTGAAGGAACTTAAAAAACAACCTCAAGGGTAGACTCAGTATGCCTTGTATATGCCAATTTATGCACTGTATGGAGACAGAAGTAAGGTCTGAGTAAGCAGGGTCTCCTGGTTGCCTGTTGGGAAGCCACTTAAAATAAGTGAGCTCTTCCTACCACTAAACTTGACATGTTATTAACCTTTAAACCCAATGTTTTCTTTGGTTCAAACTGATTTTTAAAATTTTCTATATCTATGTCTCTCTGTGTCATGTCTGTACTATATCTAGAAACACTGGTAATTCTGAATAAGATTATAAGATGTGCTAAAAATGTTCCATTGTAACATGCATGATTTCATATTTAGTCTTATATAGATGTTACATATTCTGACTTTTTAAATCAAGCCTATATTTATTTATCACTTACATGTGAGAAATATTATTGTGCATTGATACATGTTTCATGCAGAGTATGTGTAAATTTATTTCTGAGATTGACGTAAGACCATAAAACATTTTCATTAAAGATATATATTCAATTTTCAGTCACTAAACACAACTAATATCATCATCATCAAAACTATCAACACTATCACAACAATAAATAACTTCCAATTAACCTAATCAGGGAAATTAAGATGTGATATTTTATTTATTTTTACATTTTGATGTGAGATTTTTTTTAATAACTCAGTGACAGTTTATATCCTAATTCCGCTATAATGTTATTTCTACTTAGGTGAGCATAAAAAATATTCCAGTGAGTTGGACCAAAAATGAGAAAGGCTACAAATGGGTCTAGTGCCAGAGAGGAAACTTACTTTAATGATGTGTTTTATTAATGGGATGTAACCATGTTTTGAGGAGGCCCCGTCTGTCTTCCTCTTGAATTTGCTGCATAACCTCTCTATCTATACACACCAACCCTCTTTTCCCTCAAGCAAAAGAGTATTTTGAGTGATCTGGCTAAGGATAGCAACTGATGTCTTGGTTAAAGACATTCAGACCATTGCTAGAAGATGCGCCTGTGATTACAGTACAAGGTCCATGGAGAGACAATGTGGAAGGGTGAACATAAAATGGGCTTAGAGACCGACAGGCCTGGCTTTGGAAGACAGTTCTGCCACATAGTGAATACTTGAGCAAATTCCTGAACTTTTTTGAATATCAGTCTGTTCCTTTCTATCAAATTTAAAGTATTATATTATAAATGATACATCTTGCATCTAGCAGGTGATATCAATGATCAAAGTCATTGATCTGCATGAGTTCATTTTTTCAGGTGCCATAGTTTGCTACCTATGTGCTGGTTTTCTCACAGTGACTACCTAGATAGTGAAGATTTAAAGTTAATTGACTTTGGGAATCTGAATGAGCTCATATTTTTCTTTTAGTGCTTTAGATTGTACATATACAGATTGACTTTTTATAAATCACTTCATTGTGTGGTTAAATAGTCTTCTAGATATGTTCATGTCAGATGCCAAGTAAAATATTTTTTCATGTTGGAAGCTAAGCAAAAATGAGATTGTTTTATCTAGTGAAAAATAATCTTTGTTTCTTTTAGGAGTAGCCCTAGGCACAGTTGGTAAGGTGGTAACTGTGGAGATATTCTTGCCCTTGATGGTTGAGCAAGAGTTTGCCAATCTGACAAGGACAGGAAAAACATTTTGGACAGGGAAACTTTGGGGAAGTGCTTTTGAAGAAATGTACAGCCGCAAGGGGGTGGAAGTACATGATATATCCGTTTTGGTATGGTTAAAATGAGAAATAAATTGAAGGTAATAACCAGAAATGATCTGTGAATAGGAGGCTGAACCTTGTCTCACTGAGAGAGGTGTCCAACACATGGTCCATGGGCCACATGCAGCCCAGGATGGCTATGAATGCGGCCCAACACAAAACCATTAAATTTACTTAAAATCCTTTTTTGGCTCATTAGGTTTTGTTAGTGTTTGTGTATTTAACATGTGGCCCAAGACAACTCTTCTTCCAGTGTGGCCCAGAGATGCCAAAACCCCTGGATCAGATGGCATGCTTTATAGTTAGGCCTATGTTTTCAGACATGGGGAGATTTTGGACAAGAAAGTGACCTGGTCACTACTTTGTTTTAGGAAGAACTCTTAGGCAGAAGAATGGACTTGGATCAATGGAGGGAGGGTTTAGATCTAATGAACCCCAAACTATCTTAGAGATAATTATGTTAATTCCATCTTTTAGGACAGGAAATGAAACTTCAGGGAATTTGACATCCAAATTTTCTTAATTGAATTAAAGGCTTGAGCCCAGGTTGGCTAACTCCAAAACCAATGCCTTTCCTGAATCTTGTTGTTTCTATGGTTTCCAGGCCTGTGCCTATGAAAAAATGGGTAGGCTCAGTTTAGGGTAACTTGCCCCCTCCATACCAACTTCTCACATGTTAACACAGATGAAATTTGTTTATTGGGATAAACCAAGCAATGCTAACTGGACTTGGCACTTTTTTTTTGACAAGAAGTGACAGAACCATTTCTTTCCTCTTGAGTGACTGCCAGCCTCCCAGTTCCTTGTAACTGAGGCCAAGGGAAAATCATTTTTTCTGATAGCCAAAGAGAACTTACAGTAACACAACCTAACACAACCAAAAATTTGTCAGCCACTCAAGATGTTGGTTTAAGGAAATTCTGTATACTCTCTCTGTGTAGAATATTCAAACATTTTTTACAATGAAAAAAGCATGAAATGTTTTTACCAACAAAATATAGTTTCTTGATAGATAAGAGGCAACATCAGATATTTTGTGGAAATAAAGTTTTCAAGCTTCATAGGAAAGAAAACAAAAAGAGAAAATTGTCTTGCTACTTACAAGAAGTTAATTGATTAGGATAGTTATAGTAACAGGAAGCATCTTAGAAAATCAATACAAGATTAAGTGGAAGTGACTTGCAGACTCTACTATATCTGCCTGGGAAACCAATTAAAGCATGAAATATTTGAAAATACTTGGAAAAACCTATACTTTTTGAATTAACAGAGAAGTAATGTGCTTTTAATATTTTTTGTCACAGTTGCTCTTTTTATTTTTTCTTATAAAATATTTCCATATTAAAACCACTTTATAATGAAAAACTCAAATGCTCTTATGAATCCAGAATCTCTTATTTGTCAATTTTTAAAAATATTATCCAAAACGTACATGTGTTGTTTGTTATCCTTTGGATATATTTATCAGTTATTTTCCCCTTAGCTCGGTCCTGCTTTGTCTGTGCATTGCTTTCACAATTTCACAGGAATCCCCCAAATCTATCTGTTGAAAAGTACATAATATAGTCAAGATGTGGGTCTGTTGGCAAGGGGTTCAGCTGTAATAACGAATTGAATAGCTCTTTGAATTGCTACATTAAGACTCCGATGTGGGGGGCCATTGCAAAGTACCAGAATCAGTGCAATGTTTGTAAGAGCCCTTCATAAAACTAAGACTTGTGAGATAATGAAGAATATGTAATTAATTCACAGTACTTAATAGGGCCCTTTCTTTTGACTCAAGGGTTCAGTGTTACAAGCAGTCACCAATCTGCTAGATCTGAGAGCTCTGGTCATTCATGTGGCAGGCAGAAAGTACTGCGGCTCCAAATTCTGGCTCTGACTGTTGGAAGCTCAGTCCTACCTAGGGGATCTTGCCAAACACAGAGAACATGCTAATGATTTGGAACATTAACTGTCCAAGACTAGCGGGTGGAGAGCTTCATTAACTTCTGTTCAGTCCTCCAAATCCTATCCATAATCTCTGAATCTCTGGCAGCTTTGAAACTCCACTTTTGTGCGTATGTGTGTGTGTGTAAGATGGTCAAGGGAGAATATTAAAAAGGAACTCTATCAAATATTGAGTA